AGAGATGTAACTATCTGCGATACTGTGGTCACTCTCCATGTAGCATCAATTATGCTAATGCTAGCTGCCTGTCACGTCACGTTCTCTTGTCCTGGCCACACCTCCGCTCTCTAACCCCCCCACTTCCCCACCCACACCCCCTCCCCTACCCACTTTGATGCATTTTTCAAATTTCGCCTTGCGGCGGAGTTATCTTTTCACAGGGGGGTAAGATACACTTAAAATTACACTGATTGTCCTTCATTTTACAGGCATATGGACATATAAAATAATCTCAAGGATTAAAAAAAACAACTCAGCTTCAAATTTACTTTGTGTCTCAGAGGCTGTAGGTCGTAAAATTAAAAACAATAAATAAAGTTAAATAACCATCTGTCAAGTCGTTCTGCCTCTAGAAATAAGTTCCCCACCTGTCCCTGCCCTCCTTTCCCTGCAGCAGCTGTTATCTCCGCCCCACGTTCTGTTTACCCCCACCCACCCCCTTTCACATGTTAATAATACATTTTTTGTGAAAATTACAGATTTTTGAGGCTTAAATTCAGGTAAAAGTCTGAAGAGGTTGACATGTATGTGCAAGGCCTGAAATACAGTTTTTCAAGCCATGTAGATAGATCATGCTTAAAAGAAATAAAATCAGCCTCTGAAAGATATGCATATCCAGCTTTCTGGTAGCAAACACAGAACTCCAAAAGGCTACATTGAAAACTTTGCCCATAAATTTTGAGTTACCAGCTGGTCTCCAACAGCTGGAGCCCAATGAGATACAACCTTTATTTTTATTCTACATCAAAATATATAATTTGCATTCTGGTAGTAGCTCATACTGTATGTTTGTGTGAAAGTGTGTAAATTAACTGATCTAGTCATAGATTTTTTTTTTGTTTTGTTTTGTTTTTTGGATGGGTGGCAATGTTTTTTTTTTTGTTACTTTTTAAAAAGACATACAAATATTATTACAGGATTCAATGACATACAGGAGCAGAGTTGTACAGTAACTAAGTACAAGTACTTTGTTACTGTACTTGAGTAGAATTTTTGGGTATCTGTACTTTACTTGAGTAATTATTTTTCAGCCTACTTTTTACTTCTACTTCTTACTTTTCCACACAATTATCTGTACTTTCTACTCCTTACAATTTTTAAAAAGACAAGAAGTAGAAATTTGTTACTTTTATTTCATTTTTGCTTGTTTTCATTCCAGCTTATTGTAAAAAATAAATACTATCCATAAAAATTGTGCCTCCTAGATGGAGTGAATTTAATTGTGGCTGAATGAGAAGTAAATTGTCAAGGAACCTGGCTGTGCCAACCATTACAAGGTTTGAAAACAGGCCAGCAGAGCCCCCCTTTGACCCCCAACAGAGAGGAGGACGCAACAGAAAGAGAGGCCATAAGAGAGACTGGGATACAGGGATAATGGGCCTGAGAGAAGAGAAACTCAGGAAGAAGAAAGTGAAGGAGTAATGAGTAATAAGTATTAATTTTGCTTGATTTCAATGCTGGCAAATAAATAACAAGTGTGATAATTATACGCTTATTGCAACGTGTGATTTAACTAGTGTACTGTGATAGTTAATGTGTTTTAATGTAAGATGGTGATTTAATAGAAGTGCTGTTGTATGTCTTAAAATGAAGAAGGGTGTGTGTGCTACATTTGGACGGTAAAAAGGACAAACAGTACTTCTGCAAAACAGAACACATGATGGACAAAGAACAATAATAGAAAAAGGAGAAGTGGGGTTTTGACTGGAAAGTCCCAGAGGGGCCCTGTGGTAGAAGCAAGTCGGTTTACCTCACCATGGAAAGCCCTTGAGAGTCCTATTACAGGAATCAGCAAAATTACTTCACCCTGGAAAGTACACAAAAAGTCCAGTGGTGGAAAACCCCAGCCTATCACAAGATGACTGAAAGGGGGGTAAGATAGCCCAAAAACAGTATAAAAAGGAGCAGTTTCAGCAGTAAGTTGTCTTCTGGCCCCGTCTGGAGAAGAGGCAGCAAAGGCAAGGACAGCCTAAAAAGAAGACCACCAGATCCAAGAGACATCTCAGCTGGGGACAGGCTGCCACACCACTCTCCAGAAATCTACTGGCCAAAGACCAGATTAAACAACCCAGCTTTGAGAAGTTCTCTCTGGCAACAGTCTGCTGCTTTTCATGGAGGTAAAAACAACTCTACTCCAACTGTCCTGCTGTCCAAATTAACGGAAAATGCCACACAGCTTAATCACAAGGTTAGGTCAGCGTCTTAGATCTTTTTATTTTTACCACCATCAGTTATTGTTCAATATTTTCAATCTGTATAATCAAATGTGGCTTTTCTTGCAAATTTCTATTAAACTGCTTACAGCATCATAAAGACAATTCCATGACTGGACATTGGTTTTTAAAGTTTTTCTCTGATTACGAGTGTGTTGTTACTTCAAAGCAACAAGGTATTAACATATTAAGGAGTGTGTTTACTTTGAAGCCAAGAGGTAATGATAAGAGGTCATAACTTAATAATAAGTTCACTTTTATTGGTTATTAGCCTGGGGAGATAGGATAACTCCCTTTAACAGTTCCCTTGAGACCTGCTGTCCAGGTCACTGAATATTATCTCGGTCATTGTAAGAAGTGCAGATCCTAAGAGGGAGTGACTGCCATTAACGGTGGTGACCGGCTGCTGGAGGCGTCCTGAGCTACTGCGCTGATCCAGGGGCCGGGGTTCACGAAGGGAGCGACCACCGGAGGGAAGGCAGCTAGAGGCCGAGCTAAAGGCTCCCGCCCCTGTCTCCTGGAGGAGACAAGCCTGACTCGGCCACACAGGTCACCCCAGGTGGCTGTAAGTCTGGTCCATCGCCTCCAAACCAAGAAGGAGACATTGTTTCTTTTCCAAGACCCATCGGTGTCCTGGTGGGTAAACTGGGGGAGGAGCCACACAGGAAAACAATATATAAAGTGTGTAAATATATATAGAAGTTTATATAAAATTCTGATACCATATTAGTTTGTACACAAACAAACCATATCACACTCCAGCAGGACAAAATCATTGAAATAAAAGGACTTTAATTAAGAAGTATTTGTATTTCATGAATTATATTAATGCATTTGGCCACAGCTCTCAGATAGATTTTCATTTTAGGGAAAAGGTTTGGGCAGCCTTGATATATGTACGTATATAAACTGAAACAGACCAGTGCATCTTAAATTTAACATAAATTAAGTATTTTAATATTGTCATTTCTGCATTGTTTTGTAAGGTCACCTCCTAATAAATGTCATTATGGAAAATTTAACTGCTCATTTTCAATCAATACTTTTACTTTTAATACTTGTACAAAAAATATCAGATACTTTAAGACTTTTACTCAAGTAATATTCCTACAGGACACTTTAACTTTCACCAAAGTAATTATTTGGTAAGATACTTGTACTTTTACTCAAGTATTACTTTATCCAACACTGCTTAGGAGTCAAAGTAAGGAGGTTTTTGAGTTAATACAATTTGTCCTTCCAAGATTACATTTGACACAATTTTCAAAATGAAGTCTTATTTCGGCTCAATTTAAAGGTCAAAAAATGTCAGTCAACAGCTGCTTGTTTTCCCAGATCATAGCTTGAAGTGAGGCTCAACAAAGGCATAACTTTTTATTTAAAAGTGATAAAGGTACGTAATACAGACATGTGTAGATGAGTATATCATTCACTTATTAAAACTGAAAAACACAAAGCTTGTTTGTTTTTGGTAACATTTTTCACGTGTTTTTTTTTCTTCTGATTCTCAGTATCTTCTCTTCCTCAGTTTCTACACTTTATATCAAAATATTCTTGTGAAAAATGCCACTTAATATGAAGAAATGACAGATGAGGTGTTGATTGTTTGCATTATGCTTTCTTTTTTGTACACTAATTTACTACACGAGACAGTCTATAGGAGTGATCAATCTCAATGAATAAAGCAACAATCATGTTCTCTGACTACAGACAAGGCATGTGTGGACTCATACAGTGCTGATGGCAATTTACTAAAAAAAAGACAAGTATAATAAACATGTCAATACTCCTGACATTATTCACAAACAGCTGTTGAAGCAGTGTATATTATTTTAATTGGAACAACTGGTTTTAGTGTTATACTGTGTTTACTGACACTAAAACTTGTAAAGGGGAATGTGGGCACGTTAGGTTTGATTATGAACCAACTCACATGCCCATTTATGGAAAAAAAATCTATGAAAAGAATAAAAACTCTTTGTAGTTGTTAGGTTTTGACAATGAACTGTTGGGTAGAATACAGGGTGAGTGAAACGGCACAGGACACTTTATGAGTCAAAAGAATCAGGACACCCCTTTAATTTCAGAAAGAAAAGGAAAAATTACATATCTGAATACCCCAATAAGTAATGGGCTAGTCGGCCAGTTTTGTAAGCTATGTCCAGAACATGGCTGCCATGTTTAATTAAAGTAGAAGCTGCCATATTGGATGACAATAACAATCGTCCTGGAACCGGAAGGTTGCCGGTTCGATCTCCCGTAAAACTGTCTCAGTTGTTGTGTCCTGGGCAAGACACTTCTCCCCTAATGCCTCTGATGTGTGTCCCATCAATGAATGAATGTGACTGGCACTGATTAGTCTCCATAGATGAAAGTTAATGTTAGCTTTGTAGAGACCTAATAGAGTGCTGTGTGAATGGGTAAATGAGGGCACAGATTGTAGTATAAAGCACTTTGAGGGTCCTGGATGGATAGAAAAGCGCTATATAAGTACAGTCCATTTACCATTTAAGGACCCAACTCACCACCAGCATGCACTATTCACACCTCTACCATCAGCCAGAAGGTACAGAAATGTGAAATGCAGGACCTCCAGATTTAAGAGCTCCTTTTTTCCCATCAGACTCTTAAATATTGAATGTTGTCTGTTGCACATTTGCATGTTTCTGATTTTCCCTCTTGAACATTATACCTATTGGTGCTCTCGGTTTATTTGCCCTGACAATTGTTGTGGACAGCAAACTAAGAATTTCATTGCTAGGGAAACATGTTTCCAGCTGTGCATATGCAATAAACACTTTGAATGCTTGAATCATTGAATGAAAGATAAATTATACAATAGGAGTATCAGGGTGAGTCAAACGGCACAGGACACTTTATGAATCAAAAGACTCAGGACACCCCTTTAATTTCATAAAGAAAAGGAAAAATGACATATCTGAATATCCCAACAAGTAATGGGCGAGTTGGCCAGTTTTGTAAGCTATGTCCAGATGTTGTTGGTTTCCCAGTATGCACCTCATTCATCAGTTATTAATCCATAGTGTCTTAGTTTTTTTTTTTCCTTACTTGGTGTTGGGGTGGGGGTGGGGGGGTTCTCTATACTTTTAGTGTGTCAGTGGATTGTAGCCAGAATTAAAGTACAGCAAAGGAAGCAGGAAGAGATAAATGAAAGAAATGCAAAGGTGAAGTTTTGATACTTCCTGCTACAGTAACCTTTTAGCTAATGAATGGTTTGGAGACTCCTCTTGCTGGTACTGGCATTTATGGAGTTCAGGGGACAGACTTTAAATGTATTGACATTTTTTCTTTATTTAGCCTTAACTGGAAGGCCGAGTTCCACTCGTAGCAGAGCCCTGTTGTTTTATCATACAGGGAGATAAAAGTATACATTTGGCCATTATTACAGAACACAAAGGGATCAGTTTCTGTGGATACATAAAAGCTTTTTCTCTTCTCTTTTTTTTTTTGCTTCATCCTTTCATCAAAATGATATTTTAAGATTTTATAATATTTAATCTAGGTTGCAAAGTGAAAAAAAAACTTTTAAACCCCACCTTGTGTTTTAATGAAGACAGCCAAAACTCAACTTTTCAAATGATAATGTCATAACCCAACTCTTAATCTAACTAATGGCTCGAGGATTTCCTCTTCTTCCTGTTGTGTTTACACTTTACCAGCAATGTGTAAGCTTTGTGCGCATGTTCCACACCTTGTTTCCTGTTTTTGTTGGATTTTCATGGCAGAATCACAGCACAATAAACAGGCCTGACGTTGTTAAAACGATGATTTTGGCTGTTTTCTATGTTTTTGTGTGAAGGAAGATGGTGCCATGATTACAAAAATATTTTTAGAAATAATAAATAAAAAGTTTGTTTTGGAAAAAAACTGTTTCCATGTGGATAAGGCCAAATTTCAACTAAGAAAACCAAAGTGGGTGTGGTTTTCTGATTATGCACAACACTTCTTGAATAAGAAAATAGAAGGGTGGACAGGCAGTCAATGGTTATGGCACATAAGGAAAGATTTTGCTCAAATAACATTTATAGAGTATACTAATAGCAAAACTTCTTGTATATTGAAAGACACAAAGCGCCCATTTAAATTATTCATAAAATTGTACTGTTGTTTTTTCACAATAAACGGTCTGTTGGTGTTGATAAAGCATCATTAGCAATTTAGAATTTTTCAAAACTATAAAGCGCAGATAAACGCTTTGCCTAAAAGCTTCAGCAGTGATGTGTTCTTCAAAAAGTACATTTAATTCTCTTGTGTGTTTACTGTGTGTGTATGTGTGGTTGCTTGTAGGTGGGGAAGTCACGAAACCACGGTTCACTCAGTACTTTCGGGGAAGCCTATCTGGACTGACCATCCGACCAGGCAAGATTGAGAGTCAGAAAGTCATTTCCTGTCTGCAGGCCTGCAAAGAAGGGCTGGACATTAACTCCCTTGAGAGCCTAGATAAGAGTATACACACACACACACACACACACACACACACACACACACACACACACACACACACACACACATGATAGCAAAGAGTTATTCAAAAGTGTTATCTCATTTATAATACTGTTAAATTTGTTTCAAGACACAGAACAAGTGTTTGCAGGTAGATTTTAAAACCTGAGTTCTGAGTCTATATATTTTTAACAGGGCTTTAACACTGACCTTCAAAACACTGTTTAATATACATAAACATTAAGACCACCAATTAGTATTTGGCTGTTTTAACATAGAAGTATTCAGATTTTTTAGAGGGTGAGGTCACTGCAGTTCAAAATAAAAACTGTCTTGATATATTGTTTATTTCAGGGTAAAACATTTTTCAGTATCCTCCTCCATGGGACACAGTTGATCATTGAATAACTAGTTGATTATTACCCAAAAAAAAGATAGAAAGGGTTGTTGTTGCTTTTCTACAGTTATAACCCAGATCTGAACCCATTCAACCTTTTTGAAAGATTTTAGAGCACTTTGTTTATTTTACTATTGAATTTACAGTAGACAAAGATCTGCTCTCTACATGCTGAATACAAGATTGACTAGACTAGATTTTTGGTCTGTAGGGTTGCTTTTCTCATTGTTTTTCATGCATTTTTTCTCCTTCCAATAAAATATGTTGTTTTTGTCTCTTTTTCAGCTCAGTTAAAATTAAACCTTTGTGTAACATTCATTTCTTGAGGCCATAGATTGTTAGGTTTTTGGAAGTCTGCAAATTTTCAAAATACTTCACTTTTCCTGGAGTGAGAGCAACACAGACAGATAGGAAAAGTATGTGCTACCATAGGTCCCACTTTAGTCAGCACCTTCCACCACAATTATCAAACCAGCAAATTAGAGAGTGTCTGCTTGAAAAATGGTGTTCCATCCCTCCGCTGGAGTTTAACAGACCTAAAGAATCAATTCTGAAGAGAGGTAGTGTTTCACTGAGGCCAAAAACACTAAATCGGTGGTTCTGTTTCCTCCTGACTATACCCACTGTCATTAGTGATCATCTTATAAGGACTCAACTCTAAATATTCTGATTTTAGCCTTTTCAAAAGGTTCCTGATTTGTCTCAGGCAATCCAGTTTGTGAGGAGATCTCACATTACCTGTTCTTTATGCACATAAGCAGGAAGGCTCCCACACACACAGTCAGATTTAGTGGACAGTACGCAGGACACAATTCTCTTCTTTAACCCCAGCTGATAAGGGCTGATAGCTGCCCTGCTTGCTGGAGGTTTCCTTCTGTCACTTCCTTACTGCCCTGTGTGTGCTCTGGATGGAGTGGCTATTGTTTGAAAATTTTGATGCAATCTGATGATTTCCCTTAGACAATTTTAAGCTAATTGGCACTTTGTGATGTACTGAATGTTATAATATAATGTAGATTAAATTGACTGAAATTGAATTGAAACCAGCTTTTGTTTTGGACTAAATTGCATTTACATACAGTGATTTGACAAGACATTTGCTAAGAATAAGTGCTGTAAATGGTAAATGGACTGTACTTATATTGTGCATTTCTATCCATGCAGGACACTCAAAGTGCTTTACACTACAATCTGTGTCCTCATTTACCCATTCAAACAGCACTCTATTAGGTCTCTACAAAGCTAACATGTACAATCATCTGTGGAGACTACTCTGTGCCAATCACATTCATACACTGATGGGATACACATCAGAGCCATTGGGGGTGAAGTGTCTTGCCCAAAGACACAACCACTGAGGCATCTGGATGGGGGATTGAGCCGGCGACCTACCAGTTCCAGGATGACTCCCCTAACCACTCTGCCACAGCCGCCCTGCTATAAAAATGCTAATTAAACAAAATGAATTTGTAATGTGTATATAAAATCCAGAATACATTTAAGTTTTATTTGAGACAGTTTAGTGTCCATATTCTGAAGCATTTGAATTGTATTTGTTTTGGATTTATGCTAAATAAGTACTTGTAAAAGAAGCAAAAGAAAAGTGGTTTTGCAAAGCCCAGTGTGCAAATGGGAGTTTGCTCAACCAGTCTACATTTGTTTTGTGGACTAGGAGAAGGTGTTAGACCGTGTTTTATTTTGTTCAGATTTATTCAGCACATCAGCTATGCATGCAAGACTGTCTCCTATTTTCTCCAAACATAATTTAGAAACATTTTAAAATGCTTTCTTGTTTCTTCAGAGCAGCATCTGACACTACTTGTGTGCATGGGAGACGGCGGGGGACTGGCATGTCAGATGGTCCGAGCTTTGGTGCTGTGTCTTATTGCTCTTCTTCTAAATAAACGAAAATTATTTAACACAGTTGTTTCCCCATTTCTTAAATGTAACATAAATTAGAAATATTTGACCAAAGAAGAACAAGAGCAGGATTGGAGAGAGAGGAATGTGGTTTAGATCTTTTATTTCTGTGACTATGTGACCCATGGGAGACATTGCATTAACAACAGTCGTCATTTCATTCCTTGGCTTTAGCAGGTCCTTTAATTCCACAGCTGACACTGCTAAAATGACAGATTTCCTATTCTGGATCTGTGCTGACAATCAATCAATCAATCAATCAATCAATCAATCAATCAATAAATAATCATTTCATTCACTGCAGTTCTTCATGATATAAGGCATGTTACTATCAGTCAGCAATCACTTGAAACAGAACTAACCATGTTGGCTTGAAGTCTTGGCTAAAACAGATGGTGGCAAAACCACGTAAACGTCCTTGCATATACGTGATCCCAAGCTGCATTCTGACTTGGTCTATGCGAGCTGTGTCATTGGGCCTCATGCAAGAACATGTTCGTATTCTTATCCTAAATTTCTCTTACTTTTGTTCGTACAAAGGGTTCGTACGAACATGTCACGTCAGATTCAACAAACACTTCTATCTTCAGGAAACGTGCGTAAATGAGCTGCGTAATTTACACCTTTTCTATCCAGCTGCTCGTGCACGCGAGAGGAGATTAGCATAATTACCACCCCAAAAACACCATATAAGGCTATGCCTCAGATACAAGGAAGTGTTCATTCATTCATGAAAATTACAGCGAAAACTGAAAAAATAAAAACTTTACACGTTCAGAGATTGAAGTCCGTCTGTCAGAGATCAAGAAAAGAAAATCTGACATGTTTAGCAGCTCAGCTGTGGGATAAAAAGAGCTGCTAAAAGTATAAACAACTGTGTTAAATCATTTTCATTTATTCAGAAGCCGCAGCGCTGCGCACCGTGCACCCCCCCTCCCCCCCCCCGCGCGCTGCGGTGGTCTCAGATGCGGGTTTGAAATAAGCATTTTAAAATGTTTTCAAAATAAGTCTGGCACTTTGGAGAAAATCAAGGACTCACTGGAGGGGTTATGTATCCCCTCTGGTCTGGGAACGTCTCGGAGTCCCCCAGGACGAGCTGGAAAGTGTCGCTGCGGAGCGCGCGGGGTCTTTCTCCTGCTGCGCCCCCGCACCCAATAGCGGATAAGCCGGCTGGACGGACAATTTATAGTTAGTCTAAATTATTACATTTAAAATTATCTCTAATTCAAGCAGAATAACTTATTGTCAACATAATTATGGAGTGTGATTTATTTTMAACTCAAAATATCTTCAAACTAATGAAATATAAAGTTATTAATGAAGAAAACCCGTCTGGATAACAGCAGACTGACTGCTCGTAAAATATACGACAGGTCTGGACCACTTGTAAATTTTGTTCGTATCTGAAAAAAATCGTAGAATACGAAAACTGGTGAATGCCACAAATTCTCCTAAATCACTCGTACGCACAATTTAAGAACAAATCTGTGCGTACGAACGGTTCTTGCATGAGGCCCATTGTGAGCAAATAAAGCAAGGTTAGGGTGCAGGAAATCATCTCTGGGATGGTGAAAAAAATAAAGGATTATCTTCACGCTGAAGGAGAATTTCCAAATTTTCTACGATCCAACCACAACATAATATCATGCAGGATATGGAGAGTGCTGTGGGCTTATCAGTCACTGTCAAGAGATCTTAATATACTAACCCGTCTTGCAGAGAGGAACAACATAGTCCTGTCTCTATACACGTCACTTTAAGTTTTACATGTTAAAGTTAAAACTCATTTTAATGTTTGCAATGTTTTGACAAAAAATTAATTAGTTTGCAGTGATTTGTTATAATTTTAAATGTGCATTATTGTAGCCATTTGGTTACAGTGTTTAGATCAATGGTGCACAAAGCTGTAGGAACATGTTTAACTTGGGGGTGGGGTTGCTTTTATCATGATGTGAGTCTGTACAGTATATTCAATGAAATGCTCACTGACAGTGCATCTTGGCATATATTGGCCCGGGATTAATAAAGTATTCTGATTGATTACCTCAGTATAGACATTAAAACTATGCTGTGAATGTTGGTCACACTAAATCTGTGATTAAATTGATATATACTTATAGTATTTTTATATTCCGTTTTTGTATGTCTGGAAAATAAACCATTATTTATGTGCAAAAGTCCACAGCTATTTACTGGGTCATTTGAAAATGCACAGATTTGTAATAAAAAGTCTTCTAATAGTTTGATTAAAAACCTCAATTTGGTATGTTCTATGTTAAAGACACAAATTAGAGAGTGATCATTGTGATTTTTATGAAGTCTCAGAAAGCCTTGATGCCATTTAGAGTGAGTTTGCTCTTTTTCATAACACTGGAGTGTGAGCAGTAGAGATCACCCGATGAAAAGATTAGCCACTGGACCAGAGGCTTCCTCTGGCATATCTATGAAGCAGGCCTACTTTAAACATGTACCTCTGTGTCTTGCACATCTCCAGTGAGCGGAAGATGCCAGGCGGTTGCCGTTTTAATGACTGCTGGCTCACCGTTGCGAGAGTCGGTGCTCTCGGGCAATGCAAAAGGTGGGAGGGAAGTTTAAATTTAAGCTAACTTACAACTTTGTAGATAAAACTTTGATTGTTTGAAGAATGGATCGAGCTAAAGTTTTATGTTATCTAATGTAATTTTGAAATGTGC